AGTGGCCTTTTGTGGGGGATGCAGGTACACATGTGAACTACCTGTGGCAGCCTCAAGCCTAGTGCCTGCAGAGAGCTGGGGAAATCTGGGTAACAGGAGTAGTTTGTCTGTCCTGTGATGGCATTCCCTAGGTGTGAGCTTTCTGCTCTGATCAGAGGTAGCAGACTCAAATGCTTCCAGGAGCCAGACAGGTAACTGCTAATAATGGAAGCAAGTGGAATAGCGACTGCAGAAAATCAGAGAGTATGTTGTTGCCTTCAACAGATTGCTGCCATGAAGACACCTGGGCTGGGGCTGCTTGCTCTTCCAAGTTTTAAGGAAAGTCTAGCAATCCCAATCCCTGTGAGAACTGGCACATGGTGAGCCACCAGCTTGCATCTCTCCATTCAAGTTCATTATTGAGAACAGGCAAAGGGAAGCAGGAGGACCTGGTCCTGACAAACCTATCCTCAGGCCCCAGGTAATTTACCTCACAATTTTAACAAAATGGAGAACACAAAACAAAACAACCCCTCAACAGGCAGTGAATAATAGTTTCATATTGCCCTGTGTAAGGCTCTCAACTGCCTGGGTCTAAATGTTGGAAAAGCCTATCACTGTATCACTGCTTCTGCAATGATCAGGAAATAAATGTACAGTAACACTGTGAAAATACCCCCTGGTCTTCCAGGACCTCGGGAGCCCAGAAAGTAAAATGGAAATCAAAAAATAAAACTAATTAATCTTTAATAATTTTAAAACAATTTTTAAAATGAGGTTCATCTTGTGAGTTTAAAAAATCATATTCAGTTTTCCTTGTCTTGGTTTTCTCCAAAATCTAAGCTTAGCAGCAGAAAAGGCTGTATGTCTGAATGTACTGTCATTAGACAGATATTTGTATCATTTGAAACAAGATCAAGAAGAAACAGGAGTTTCTTCTTGAGATCAGGAGTTCAAGACCAGCCTAGTCAACATGGTGAAACCTGCCTTTTCTAAAAATACAGAAAAATTAGACAGGTATGGTGGTGCATGCCTGTAATCCTAGCAACCAGGGAGGTTGAGGCAGAAGAATCACTTAAACCCCAGGAGGTGGAGTTTGCAGTGAGCTGAGATCACGCCATTGCAGTCCAGCCTGGGTGACAAAGTGAGACTCTGTCTCAAAAGAAAAAAAAGTAAAGGAGTCTGGTAGCTGTTTTGTACATCTACGAGAGTGAGATTCCAGTGAGGGGAGACAAACATCACCCCTGACACCCTCTAATTATAAGTGACTGTTGGGCCTCACAGGATACTAGTTGTACTGTGGAAGGCAAGAAAGCCCTTTCCTTAGCTGGTTCTAAAAGTGTGTAACGCTTTCTTATGTGTCATCAGACCAGAAAACACCCCACTGTGACCCAAGCTGGTCTACTTTGCATGTTCCCTAGCAAACATTTTACTGTTAGGGACTTTTTCTCTTGGAGCATGTGCTTGGTTCCCTGGCAACCAGATTGCTCCTGATCAGGCAACAAGACAGAGGGCGTGGTCCGTGGAGTGCGTCCACTAGATCTGTGTGGGCACTAGAATCCCTTCAAGAAGTCTTGGGTGAAGGGCTATAAATTCTGGATGACTAGGTTTTCTGGATGACTCCATTTCTTCAGGGGTAGGGTTTTTGAAAATTCAGCAAGGCTGAGCTGACTCTTCTCATCAATATCTGAAAACAGATCATTTCCTCTTTGACAGTTTGTGCAATGCATTGTGGCTACAAGGCCAGATCCCTGGCCTGATGTACACATTTATTCACACATTCTAGGAAACCCAGAGCAATAGCAGGCAAATGAAAGACCAAAGCAGTGGCAAGAATGTCAGTGCTGGCAGAATATGCAGCCAAATGTCTTAGAACTATGGAATGTTTTAGGTGAAAATAGGTGTTCAAAAGCTCTCCAGAATTATCTAGATGAGCTAAACCAGGCACAAATGGAGGCTTACTTTGTGAGTTACATGCAATTATTAGATAGAAGTGTTGCTGGTAGAAAGGGGGCAGGAATAAATTTTTTAAAATTGCTTGCAACAATTAATATTTATTTTATCTTCCATTTAGGCAACTTATTTAATTCATTGTGGCATCAAGTCATTACAATATGATTACCAAAAAATTACACTGTGCTTGTATCTATGACATGATTAATAAGGTGGCAAATAGGCTTTCTCTCATCTGACAATTTCAATCAATTGGCAGTGGTTTTCTGAGTTTCGAAAGCTCTGAGGTGGAGTTGGGTGCAGTCGGCGAGAATGATGCAGTGGATTAGCCATGCCTGCCCTCTGAAACTTGGGTATCAAATCAAACTCTGACTCCTGGAGCTGCCTCACTGGGTGAGGGAAGAGCTAAGTGGGAGAGCATTACATTCAGAGCAGCTCTTTTTAATTCGATTTAAATTATTAGAATTTTGAAAAAGATTTTATATGATTGTGGAATTCCTATGATAAAACCTGGTATTTTAGAACTATGAAGGTAATGGGGAAAAAAGACTAGTGTTCTAAGTTCATTTCTGACTTGATGCATAAGTTTGCATTAAATATTCTGTAAATTACATAAATGTTTGTCACAAAATGTCACATAGAAAATTTTTGGAACATCACACTTATTTCCTAATAATGGTCATTCACTCTGATATTCCATCCTTGATAGTGGCTCCCTAGAACGTTTTATTATGAGCATTTATATATTCTCTTTATGTTTTCAACTTCTCAGGTTTATATATGTACGCCAGCTTACCCTGTATTTTTTTTCAAAAATCCACTCATGAAATTTATTCTGAACAAAGAGTAGTAAATGACTCAATCTTATGTGGTAAATCCAATCAGTCTGTCATGGTTTTCCTGAAGAATTGATAAGAAAGTGACAAAATTGGTAATGATGTCTGCCATGGGAGTAGCATTGGGAATGATAGCACAGAAGCCTTACATATTCCCACACACTATCTTTATAATCCATTCTGTTTCTCACCTTGCCTGACTCTTATGATGAGAGTTGCAATTGTTTTGTAGAGCAGAGACATTACCGTATCTATTTTCTCACTACCTCTTTAAATTGTAGTCCTGTATTCTGAGCTTACTTAGGAATCCACTATTGCCAAGTGTGGTGGCTCATGCCTGTAATCCCAGCACTTTTGGGAGATGCTGGGATCACAGGCATGAGATGGGTGGATCGGTTGAGGCCAGGAGTTCCAGACCAGCCTGTCTACTAACATAGTGAAACCCCATCTCTAAGATACAAAAAATTAGCCGGATGTGGTGGCCCATTCCTGTAATACCAGCTATTTAGAAGGCTGAGGAATGAGAATCGCTTGAACCCAGGAGGCAGAGGTTGTAGTGAGCTGAAATTGTGCCACTGCACTCCAGGCTGGGTGACAGAGCAAGACTGTCTTAAAAAAAATTTACTATTTACTTGCAAGTCAGTAACACATCTCCAGCCTTTATCATTCTAGACTAGTCTTCTTTTCCCATTTAACAGTGTTACTGAGGCTTTTGAACATCTTCTGAAAACAGTGGGTATTCTTATCGCCACCCCCAAAATCTGGCATTCAGAAACAAATTCACAGGTACCTGTGGTCTGTTTCTAGACTCTCTCCTCCGACAAGAACCCTAGCCCTTTATTCTCTTCAGTATTCTTTCATAGGTTTAAACCATTCAGGATTGCTTTTCCAAAATCTCTCCTAACCTCTAATATCTTTATTATGGTAAAAACCTTTATGTTCTCATAGAAGTACAGTGTGGCAACACTTCCCAGTTTCATACATGTCACACATTTGTGCCCAGGAGAGCAACGAGTAAGCCGAAATGAGAACACTGGTGAACTTCTGAGGAATTTGCCCATATTCTAAGCACTTTCTTCTGCAGGTGTCAGGCATATGTTATGTCATGATACTGGGTCTGAATCTTGCAGTGAGCCCTGAATAAGCCTCTGTGATAACCAATATTTATTTCCTCTGTTCTGTCTTCAGCACCACTATCAGGCAAATGAACATTGAGCATCGTCTTTCTCACATTTACTTGTTTGCTCAAAAACCTTTCATGGTTATTCACGTCCTAATACATAAATATAGACTCCTCTTTCTTGCTTTCAAATAAGCTATGAGATGCTCTGTTGGCAGTATGGTGTTATACGGAAACAACAACAGCAAGCTGTAATAAGTTGCAGCAACCTACTGCAAGAAATTTATTTAATCTCTCTCAGCCTCAGTTTTGATCTATGTGAAGTGGAGATCAATAATATCTATTTCAGGGATTTGTTGTGAGAATTAAAAGAGATTGTGTGTGTAATATACTTAGCATATTGCCTGGCACCTAGTTAGTGCTAAATAAATAGTAAATGTTATTGCTGAAATCAATAATAAAGGTAAGAATCAATGTCTAGATGCACTATTTTTGACTGACCATGGGCTCATTACTAAACGTCTATGAATCTCAGTTTCTCATCTGAAAAATGAGGATAGGTTCTAATTATAAGGCTGTTGGAAGGACTACATGATACAAATGAAGGGAAATATGCTTAATACATGTTGGGCCCTTCATGTATTATTTTTTGCCTGTCCCCACACTTGCTTCACAACTTCCTGTAACATGAAAGAGCCCTGTGAGTGAATCAGACCACCCCTAGTACTCTGCTTTGCACTTGCTGTAGACATCTTTTTTCTCTTTAAGGGCAATGCCTCTTTTAGGGGCAATACCTCTTTTGCAGCCACAATATTCTCCCCATTCTTAAAACTCCAAGACAAGTACCACTTCCTCTACGAAACCTTTGCTGAATACTACATTTACCACTGACTTCCCTCTCTATTGAGCCAGTACATTTCTCCACGTGCTTGTCATACAATTTAGCCAGTAATTTCATTCTGTCTGTTCACTACAGAGATGCCTTATATTTCATGCCTCTCTAACCTGAGATATGGAAATTCAATTCTACCCTGGATTCATTTGGGGATGAGAAAATATTCCATAAGATACAAGGAGATAAAGTTCCTTTCTACTTTTTTTTGTTGTTGCAGTTTCTTTGTATGGACAAGGGATGGTTCAAATGACTGTGAAAGACTATATGAGGTAGGTAGAATCAGTGTTACTTCATAACAATATTTTACAGCCACACCTTTGCTGAATAAAATAAAAGTAGGGAAGTTTTCTTAATAATGCCACGGATCTTGGAATCTCAGGAAAGGTCACTAGTTTAGTCAGTGACTAGAACGTTTACAGCAGCTTTGAGAGAAATAGAGGTTCCTTAAATATCATAAAATTGTGAGTAAATTAAATCAACAAATGTTGACGTGGGGGGAAATTTAATTAGAACATATGCATAAATGACATTCTACTACACTGCAACTGTTCATGAGGACCTGTTTATAAAACAGTTACATTCAATATTTTCATTTGGCTAATGTAATTGATTATCATTCTACTTACTGGACAACAAGATATACAAATTCCAATGTTAGGTAGAAAGCAGTGAGATTCTCTTCATTGGAGGAAATACAAGGTCTCAAGTATGGTGCCCAGGACATCAGCATTAGCATCATGGGAGAACTTCATAGAAATGCAAATTCCCAATCCTCATCCCAGACCTACTGAACCAGAACATTTGGAGGTACAGTCCAAAAATCTGTATTTGTGCATGTCCTCCAGATGACTTTTTCAGGCACACTCTATTTTTAAAACCACTGGAATAGACTATGAGCTCTTTCAGGTTAGGAACTCTGCTTCCTGTTCTTTTGTCACCCTCACATTTTCAGGAGAATTCCAACTAGCTGTAAACCAAATATGCAGTACTGCATGCCCCTGCTGCTACCAATGCACACCTAGAATACTATTTGTCATAGGTTTTTCTCCTACAGGATTGGTTGTTTTTGCTACTTATAGAATCATAGAGCTATAAGAGACCATAGAAATCTCTCAGGCAACTCTGATTTTGTTGAAGAGGAAAATGAGAGCCACATTCCATGAACAATTCATGCTTCCATGGCTTATTACAGCAGTGACTCCATGTGGGTTGTCCTGGGACCCAAGGGCAAGCTGCTTCTGGGTTGCTCTGCTGCACATCACAAAATGAGGCATGACCCTAAAACAAAGAAGGAAAAATAAATTATGGCAGGCCTAATGAAACTGAGTTGGGTCAAGAAGTAAAAGACTCTCTTTTGCCTTTCCTTGAGACTCAAGGAGCTCGACTCTCTGTTAACACCAGAGAAACATACTTTCCCAACCTTACAGAACAGAAGGAATTAAAGGGCAGGGCCAAACTATTCTTACTAAATGTAGCTACAAGGAAGTCAGCAACCCAAGTAGGATAACTTGTTCTCCCTTGGAACATTGATATCTGCATTGTATTTTTAATAAATTCTAAATTTATGCCAACTGGCTATTATATTTGGTGGGGCTAAATGTGATCCATGGTATAGCTGAGCTATAGATATAAAGCTGAACTATATTATGACAGGATTCCATTCTCTTTGGAAGCACTTTCAAATGATCTGCAATGCAGGCCTATTGGATAGTGATGTTCATTTTTTTCCAGTAAAGGAGTTTGTTAGAGTTGCGTATGATTGGCTACAGGAGCTCTGGAGTTAGCAGGTAGAGAATGTTAGCTATGAGATATGAATCCTTCACTAGTATGAGAATCAACGTAGAGTTGCTTCAGTGACTGCTGGAGGTACTTCTTTCAGCATATAATTTTAACTTCTTCCCACAAGTTGGCGCCTAGCAAAGCTGTATTCCTGAAAGGTTCCCCAATGATATGCCATCTGTCAAAAGTGAGACATTCTGCCACCTTCATAATGAGCACTATCGGGCACCTAACACTTAAATTCTCACACCTTCTGTAATACAATGCTCTGGAAAACAGGAGCAGCTCCTCCACTGCAAGCTCTCTTCTGCAAAGGTGCGCCCATTATGGGATTATTAGAAACTAAGAGGAAATGCAAATGTTTGCTCTGGAAGGAAAAGATTTACAATGACCTCCCAGGAGACTATCTAAATCAACACATCTCATTGTTGGTATTTTCCCAAACGCAGATCTTTGCATCAGTTGTCAGAAACTCCCACCCTATCCAGAGGGACCAGTTTCAATTCTTGCTGTTCTACTGCAAGTGTACCACAAAGGTATGTAATTTCCAAGCACTTTTCTTCCAGAGAAATCATTCTGTGCAACAATGGGTTTTATTAAATTATAAATAGGTGCTTGTCGAATGAATGGATGAGAGAATGAATAAAATATTTTCAAATCCCAACTTGCAAGAACAATATAAAACCGTTAGTAAAATTGGAAACAGACTAAATATCTGTCAATGGGGAAATGGCCAAATAAATGATTGGCCAGTTCATTTTACAGAATTCCATACAGTGATAAAAAGAATAGATAGAGATATACATACTGGCTTAGAAAGATCTATATGCCACGATTTTTAAGACAAAAAAAAAAAAAGCAAGGTGCAGGAAGGTACATAGAGTATGTTACTATAAATAAAACAAACAAGTGAAAACTATAAAACATGTATGTAACTGCATAGGAAAATGTCTGAAAGGATACACATAGATTTAACTGAAAGAGGGTCGGGATTGGTGGGGGTAATAGCTAAGGGGAGTGAGAGCATTATGTGTATGATTATAATATTTTTAACAAAGTGAGTATATCTTATGTATTTCTTTGACCATTAAATATCACTTAAAAAGTCAGTAATATTTTCACGATGATATGAAAATGTGTTTAATGACCAATGAATACTTATATTCTTGGTCAAGAGACTGAAGCCTTTGGAAAGCAGGAGCTATGTTCATTTTTGTGCCATGGGTACCTGGCATAGAACCTAGAACATGACAGATATTCAATACACATATGTATAAATGGGTAGGATAAACATTTGTACAATGAAGTCAATAGGATCACAGATTAGATCTTTCATGCACACTTTAGATTTCTCACCAGAATTTTTTTCTTCCATCAACCTCTTTTATATTCAGGTGGCTGTGTCAGTGTAATCAAGTGATTGGCATTCCTGATTCCCCTGTTAATTCCATGATTAAGTTATCCAAATTGAGCCATCTCCACTTCACATTATAAGTTTCAGTAATCAGTTGCACTGCATAGTGACCACAGTTAATAATAACTTATTGTGTTTTTCAAAAATGCTAAAAGAAAATATTTGTGATGTTCTCACCACAAGTAAGGTAGTGGGTATTTTTATTGACTTGATTGAATATTTCTACAATGTATACATAGATCAAAACATCACACTGCACTCCATAAATACATACAACTATTATTTGTCAATTAAAAATAAATAAATCAGTTTTTTAAAAAAAGACAAAATAATTAAAGAAAAAAATAAAATGTGAACATGATACTGATGGTATCTGGTAAGTGGACATCCCCAATGAGATAGGTACCTGTTGTTGAATGTGTAAATGGCTAAGTAAATGAATTATAATTAATCCAATTTAATTATGAAGTCATTAAAGTAAAATTAAACTATCTCAAATAGGCTCATTAGTATTGCATGTAAAGACAAAGCAAACAAAAACTTCAACAGAAGAGCTGAGCAAACCTGATAAAATCTTGTCAAAAGATCTGATTCCCATAGAGTTCATAAAAGACTTCCATAGTCTCCTGAGTTAGCTTAGTGTCCCAGGGGAAGTTCAGAGATGGATTGGCATACATAACTATTTATATTTATAAATATAACAAATATAGAATTGTAATATGTATATGATTATAATAAAATTATAAATGATTTAGATATTTATATATACAGATCAAATTAAAAATATATATAATTTTAATAAAAATGATAAATATAATTTCCAGCTAATTGATGTTTATCATTTAAAGTGCCAAAGTGGACCAGAACAAGTTGACAACAGCATTTTTTTTTCTTAGCCAAGTACAAAAATAGTATAGAACACATTTTAATTCTACCTAGGGACTTACAATCATTATTTGTAAACATCAGTTCTTGTAGTTTGCATTTAACGATATTCTGATCTGTGTTGCTGAGGATGCCACAGACTGGTGCTCTTTTAAAATATCCTTCTTCGAGGCTACTGTTTAGATTTTTTTTTTCTGTTTCATTTCTTGCCTTCAGTGACCACTTCTTTGTGGGTGCCAGTGCACTGCCTCTGGTGGGTGTCTGTCCCACAGTCTCCCTGCCCTATCTAATTTACAATGTGCCTGTTGCGGAATGGGAAGCCAGTTAAGTAAACTCATACCATTGGATGCAAAGTACAGGCAAGTGGTCCCACAGTGGGGGTGCCAGTCAGTCCTTTAAGTAAGAGCATAGGAATGCTAGTGAATGTACCATTTGTCTATTTAGGATCCTCTTTTCCTTCAATATCTGGGAGATTGAGTGGGTGAGGTGACCAGAAAAAAATGTGTTGGGTTAACAGAAAGATATTCATATTTTTAATACAGCATTCCTGAATGGCTGGAATTTTGGGAGAAAGATCCAGTGGAGATTCTCTTGGATCTGGGGTTTGGTGCTGATGAGCCAGACATCTGCACTCAAATCCCAGCCAGATTCCTTGGTTGTGGCTCATCAGCCAGAGGTATCAACATCCGTGTTTTTCTTGAAGCTCAAAAGCAGCGAATGGACATTGAGAACCCCACCTTGTATGGTAAGCAAGGTCCCTGCGGCATTGGCATCTCAGCATTGGCAATGAATCGGCACGGGGGCCACAGTGTAGGTGAGGAGATTGTGTGAAGTAGCATACAAACCCTCTATTCCAGTGACTTAACACACAAAAGATAGATTTCTTGGGCATCCTATATGTCATTGGAAGTTGGTATGTTTGGGAGAAAGAAGTTTCTATTTGCTCCATGTTGGCCTCACTCAGGAATCTGGCCTCTAATCTAGAACCTCACTAGTTGCAATGACAGGGAAAGGGAGAAATGGAGAATGACACTCAGCTCTTAAATCCTCTGCTTGTAACTTAGACGCATTTCTAAGTCGCATAGCCACACCTAAGTCCAAGAGGGTGAGAATGTACACTACCAATCACCCAGAAGGAGGAAAGCTGGCAGTAGTGGTGAGCAGCACTAATATGTACCATAGCCACATACCCAGGAGACAGAGTAACCAGAATCTGACAAGGATTATCATGAGTCGTTAGGTGAAACCCTAGTTTCCTCATCTATGAGATTTAGAATACTATCGTTTACATCTTGAGCTATAAGTGATAATTATTAATCTGCCATGCCTCCTGATGTAACTATGTCTAAACCTTAGAAGAAATCAGGTATGTTGCTATATTTCTTCAGCTGATACAATCTTTTTCTCTAGGACATTACTAAGGATGTTCTTGGGGGTGCCTGTACTGTGGGGGAAAGATGCTTTGCAGTTCAATAGGTTTCTTTACTACAGGATTGATTTAATATGCTAAGGTGCACTTTCAGTCTCCTAGAAGCGATGCAGTGTAGCATTTTAAAACCATTTAAATACAAAAGGCCTCTTGGAGAAGCATTGAGGAAGATCTTCTCTATAGTACAGCATTTGAGGAATTCTGAGGGGGAAAATGACAAAATTCTGATTCTCAAATAAAGTATTTTAAATAAACAGATTCACTAAAAGAAAAGTCATGTGAGACAAAGTGTTTTTCTCAAGCAATTATCTGGAACAGGGACTTCACTTGGAGTTCTCATTTTAGCTCCTGTTTCTCCCGTTTTCATGTGGGTAAAATGGGTCTCAAAACTTCAGCAATGATATTATTTTTAAAAGAGTATGTAAAGTTGAAGGTGTTGCAATGTAGTGTTTCTTTACTTTTTAGATACAGTTGATGTTGCTCTTTGTTATCTTTTTGCAAGCAGCACAAAAATGCAAATTCTTTGATCAATTCTTTATTTCAGGAGAATAATAACACCATATTTGAGTAGTGTTTGAGCTTCTATGAAGTAAACATTTCACAAATAAATTGACATATGGATTATAGAGAAACTAGGAGTTGGCCCCTTATTCTGTGATCCCTGATGCACTCATATTTCTGCAACATAACACTTGATTCAAGGAAGCGGAGAAGGTCAAATATAAAACAAACAATAATAAAGCTAGTTGGCTGTTCAACAGATAGAATGGAAAATTATATCTCATTCAAAGTCAATATGAAATGTTTAAATTTGGGAGATGAGAATCAATTAGTCCATTGTTTAATCTACCCAAAGGCAAAAATAAAACTCTTATCCTACACTTCAGACTATTGTGTTGTCTGAATTGACTTAACCAATTTAATTGATAGGTTTTGTCCTAGTCTAATATAAAAACCTGCCATGGATGGATATAAGGCAACCATAAAAGATGAATTATGATTCAGTTGTACCCTCTGGATCACAAAAGAGATTTAGTTTCAACTACAGCTTAATGAAGGGGGTAAATGCAATGAGAATTATTCTGAAACATCCAGAATCCCCACAATTCCTATAGGTCTTGGAAAAATATCACAGTCCTCTGTGAGAAATCTATCACATTTAGAAAGATGATTAGTCAATATTTCTTCTTTTAGGTAAATGAAAGAGGTAGGCACTGGCTCAAGAGAGTTAGGGACATTGCTGTGATGGTGCAAACACAACAGAGAATAGCATCCTAGCCCATCTACGTCCTTGACCTTCACTGAGTTATGCAACCCACATGCGATCACTGTGATTAAGAGAAGGCTGAGCAATACAAACAAAACATTACATTTATATTACAGTGGTTTTATTATCTTGAGACACCAAAAATATTTTCCACCTTTTTTTTTTTTTTTTTTTGCAAACTGGCAGTATGTTCTCACATTAGCCTTTGCTGCATTTGGTCTCTCCCATATGCTAATTAAGTCAATACAGTATTGACTGTATTGAGGCCAGATCATCCAGAAAGCCTTAACAAGTTGAGGAGCTGGTTTGTTTTGAAGAACAAATGGGTTTTTACATTAATGACTGTCTTCTCTGGAAAGACTGAAGAGAATATATTCCTTTCCTGGGTCTTGCTCATTTATAATCACCATTTTAACCACTGAAACTTATATGGCATTGTGTCTTCACAATGTTGCTTTAGTGTTCATGACAGATGTGAAAATACATGAGAGATGAAAAGACTGGCAATTTACTATGTGCCCAGCATGGATCTAGCACTGTATATCTATTAATTATTTTATTCTGAGCTCAAATATCCAGTGAATGTTAGACCTGGAATTTGGATCCAGGCCTTCTGACTCTATATGCCATGATCTTTCTACAATCTCAGGTGAGAATATGGATAGGGATAATAAAATTGATGGCAGGGATCTACATGACATAGAGCTATGGAGAAATATTTAGGTAGCCTCACGCTGATAGCACTAGCTTCACTCTTTAATACATGTTAGACACAGATTCACCCATGCCTACAGTTTTTAATACTTAACACAAAAGAACTATAGGCATGTATAAATCTGTATAGTTCTGTGTGTTCAACTAAATATAAAAGCTGTTCACTTTCCCCATAACACAGTAAAATCTCATTACATAGGGAGATCATCTCCATAATAGCAATGGTATATACTGAGAAAAACTTGAATTTCAAGAGCCTAAAGTCCTTCCCATCTCGAAAATGTTATGTTAACTGACCCTTCAGTTTTTACTACATTAATACTGTTTCAGCAAAAAGACCCAGTCTAAAACTTTTGTGTTTCTTATGTTGTGCAGGCCGTTTCCGACAGCTGGAAATCCTGGACCATGTAACCAATGCCTTCTCCTCTTTGCTGAATGATGTCAGCATCCTGCAAAACAGAGCTGAAGAGAAAACTAGAGGAGAAAGTGTGCAAAGAACCTCAGTGAGTGTGGCCAAAGAGCATCGCAGAAGAATGGGTAAACTCTTGAGGAGAGCTTCAAAGCAGGACATCAGGAGGAACTGTAGCCCAGAGGCATCAGAGTCCTTCAAGATGAAAGATGAGTTTTTTATCTCCTTCACAAAACCATGGGAGTGTGGAGCAGAGCTAGCAGCAACCTCAATGAACCACAAGAAAAATAATTTATCTCAGTCAGTAGAACATCAGTCTCTCCAAGCCTGTGATGATTTGCTACCTCATCATCCTCCTTGTGATCTTCTGGGCAAGCAGTGGGCTTGCTCATCTACGTTGGCCAAACAGGCTCCTCCTTCCTGTGAGTCTGAGGAGTCAGTCAAGGCAAGAACTCAGAAGGAGAACTTATTTCAAACTAACAGGCTCAAGAGCTTGTCTCGTCTTGCGGGTAAAGGACCAGAGTCGTTTGAAATGGAAGAGGTCAGTGCTGTACCAATGTGCCCACCTTCCTAAGGGAAATAACCTACACCATGACACCCTTGTTTTCCAACCCTGATTTCACCACTTCATCTTTTAAATCCTCAGCATTACATCTTAGTGTTCTGAGTCAGTTCAGTGATTTAAAGTCACTCTAGTTGCTTTTGTTGAAAATAACCTAGTAGGAAACCAGCCTTTGCTTTCTCCAATGTCTGTCCTTTTTCTTGCTCACAGTTGAGTCCATGGGTCATTTCTGACTCTGGTGTTGCTCAATTGTTTTATGTACCTCAGTATGCTTTTTATCTACTCTAACTTTTTGTGTTTTATCTTCTTTGAGAATCAGTTCAGCTACTTCCCACTCAGTGAAACCTGCCTTGACTACTTGTCCTCTGTTCTCATGGCTTTAGCAGTGTGAGCTCTTTATGTTAGAGATTGAGTGTGTGTCAATGCTATCTTCCTCAAAAGACTCTCATTTCCTTTAGGACCAAAGATGTGTGTTGGAAATATTTCCCCCACAATGCTTAACACAGCTCTTTAGACAAAGCAGTAGGGACTTGGGTTTGATTTTGATTTCAGGGTGTTAGTATGCTGTTTATTTGTTTGCTTTGGGAAGTACTGATTTTCACATAACCCGACCTTCATTTCACACACATTTTTTGCTCCTTTATCTCCACCTTCATTCATTTACACTAGTTTTTACCTTCATTTAGATGACATTCTCACTTGTACTTCTGAGAGTTTTTTTCTTTTCAAATACATATAAATGTCCACTCATTTGTCTATTCATAATGGCAACTAGGATGGAGAATTAACTTGTTGTTAACTCTGTTATTTGTAATATAATTACAAATAAGTAATTACAAAGGAAGAACAAGGCTTTTCTCTCCTTTCATCTAAATTACCCAAAAGTAGGGCAGAATATTCACATGCAAATTCCAAAATAGAGTTACTTCTCCATTGAGCTCTCTATGTGCACAGAACTGGTAACAGAATCTGCCTTGGAAAGGGAGCTACTGAGAAGTGGCAAGGATGGGCACTGAAACCATAAGATGGTAGGCACAGAGGCAGCCCTAGACATACCCTGTACATTACTATACAGACATGTTTTCCAGTATTCCAGGAGCAAGTAAAGCCATTCTTAGCCAGCCTGGGGCTGAAAGGATAATGAAATTTGTAGAAAGTAAGGCTTAACCATAATTTTAAAAGAATAGGATTGAGTCAGGTGAATATGATTATTGGCATATCTTCATCCCACAAAGATATAAAAATTACTTCAAAATATGTAGGTGTTAATTTAATGTTCCTAATATCTATTTATGTATATGTATGTTCTTGTACATATATGCCTTGTATAAAAATTAAAGAACCTTAAAATGTTAAACTGAATTTAAATAGTGGCATTAAAATAAATAACAATTATAAAAAAAGGGAAAACACATACCTTTGGTGAAATACCCTGACTCGAGGATAAACTGAGAAGGCACTAAAAAAATGATTTTTTAAATCTTAACCTTGCAAAGATTAATTACCAAACCAATAGTTAAATTACTATAAATAATGTCAAATCAATCTGCTATTAGCTAGGACCCAAACAAAATGTTTCACCAAACTCTAATTCATTGCCAAGCTTCATCAGACTCTATTGTCCTTCAAGGTTCTTCTGCTTCAAACTAGACTGATTTAGAGGAAAATAATATTCATAGTATGCTGTCTAAATGTCAGAGTACAGGGATGGACAAATACCAAATTTATCAAATTTTATGTAAATAAATAAGAAAAGAGTGTTAGTTCTTGATTGGTATACTTTCAAGAATTTTAAAATTACAATTATTCAAGAAAAAAACTACATATTAGTATGTATCTGGGGAGACAGTAGAAACACTCTCAGACACCAAAATAAAGAAAACAAATTCACATGTTTCTTTAGCACATAGTAGGTACTTAGTAAATATTTGTTAAATATTTGATAAATAAAGTAAATATTTGTTAAAGAATTTGACAGTATTAATTTAATCTAAGGATGGCTTTCATAGAAACACAGAATATTCTGTCAAACTTCATAGTCGGCTTTGTTTGTGGTGTTATTATTTTCTAGGATTTGTGTGTGTGAGAGACTGTATGTGTATGTAAGGCAGAGATAGTCCTAAAAATGATAGAAAAGAAACATGCTATTTGAATTTTATTTTAATAAAAAGTGCATATAAAATATTACCTTCTCACTGGGGAAAAAATATTTGTTTCACTCAATACGAGTGGATGAGTAAATGAAGCTTGGGGAGATTGCATCTTAAACAGAAGCCAATGCCAAATTTAATATTTATTTTTCAATGTTAAATTTTAAAATCCAATTATAAGAAATGAAAAATATGTGTGAAATTGGAAGATTTTCATGGCATTTAAAACAAGAGCCAATGTACTTAAATATCTAGCTATCAGAATTTCAAGTATGATTAACCAAATTTTGTCTCCAGATCAACCAATGATGCTTTCCCTAAAGTCCTACTAAAAGCTGAATTTGGCAATATTTGTCTCACTTCTCAAAAGTATAATTTCATCAAAATTGTGCATAGATTTCTAATGTAAAAGTCAACATAGTTTATGTTTAATTTTACTTAGTAAAATTGAGTTCAGCCCCACTCTTTTTAAATTCCCAAATACATTGAGTGATTTTGATACTTGTAAAATTGGTACAATTGTAAATTCAAGGTAGGATATTTCTTCATATCCATAATAAATAATTTTCAGCTTTCCCTCCTGTTTGCATATAAGTATCCTGTTCTGTAGAGTCACATGTGAGAACATTAACCATATTATTAAGCAATGTCAGTCAACATCTTAAGTGGGGAATATTTCAAAAGTTATAACTATTTCTTTATTTTATTTTTTATTAGTTTATAAGTTTGGCTCAGGCAGAATAGCCCAGAAATACACCTGGCTTTCATTTTAAATTAACGGGGCGTTTTTCTTTTTTTTTTTTTCAAAAGACAAACACATGCTTCACATTGCCACAAGTGGATTTTTCTCCATGATATGGTCATTGCAAAGACATTTTTTTACATTTGAAAATGCATATGATGTGCACTGATTTGCATTACCAACCTCAGTGAAAATAATGCTAAGAAGTAGGTCTAACAGGTTACTAGTGTAGCATAACTTATTTTAAAAAAAAGAGATGAGAGATTAAAAAGACAGATGAAATATTTCTTATTACAGTTGAGCTCTATCCTCATGATCTCTAGTTTATTCCTGGAGGTCATTTATGGCCGTATGTACCATGATATTTAAAATGTCTATGTCCTTTAATTCAGCTTTCAGTATTCAAATATCAAGTCCAAGTACATAATATGACGTGTATAAATAGAATTATGAACAAGTGAATTTGATACTTGTAAAATTGGTACAATTGTAAATTCAAGGTAGGATATTTCTTCATATCCATAATAAATAATTTTCAGCTTTCCCTCCTGTTTGCATATAAGTATCCTGTTCTGTAGAGTCACATGTGAGAACATTAACCATATTATTAAGCAATGTCAGTCAACATCTTAAGTGGGGAACATTTCAAAAGTTATAACTTTTGAAATGCACCTCAGCATTATTTGTAATTGCAAAATTTAGAAAACCTTCCAACAGTGGGAGAATTGTTAAGTAAACTAATGTACTTCCTGAGAACAGCCTATTGTCCTGTCATTAAGATGATGTTTTTAAAGAAATCTTATGATGTGGGATAAAAGTACCCCCTTCAGATTTTTCAGTGAAAAAATTTGACTACATGACAATATCCAGAATAAATGTATTAAAAAAAAAACTTGCAAAGAAATACTTCAATATGTTTTTGGAGTAACAGTAACTGTTTTCTTGCCTTCTTTTTATTTTTTGTAGAGATGGGGTCTCACTATGTTGGGGTCTCACTAGGTTTTAAATGCCTGGCTTCAAGTGATCCTCCCACCTTGGCCTTCCAAAGTGTTGAGCTTGCAGGCATGAACCATGAAGCTCAGCCCTGTTTTTTTTTAACCTTCTTTTCCTAAGTATCACGTTTCTATAATAAGCTATATTGCTATTTTAAAAGCAATATGCATTATTTTGTTTAACGATAACTTTATAATACAGTAGTATTTATTACTTTATTTTAAAATTTCAAAAATTAATTTTGCTCTAGCAATTTGGAAACTAAACTTTAAAAAATATGTCTAAGCACTATATAGCAACTAAATTTTCTGAATTACTTTCTGTAAATTTATCAAGCCTCAATTAACTTGCTTTCTCCAAATATACTTAAATTTCTTGGAAGCAAAAACTAAAATCTAGAATAGAAACATTATTATTTAAATTTATTTCAACTGCATATCTTCCAGAAGGAGCATTGATCCTCCCATCCAGATGTGATCTTCCCCTTTCCTGAACTTCTTTAATTCTTTGAATCTTTATCATGGATACCTTGTCCCTGCTACATCCTCCCAGCAGACTGTAAGTTATTTGAATTCAGGAACTCACATATTCCTCTTGTCAGTTGCCAGTAGACACTCATTATATGTTGATTAAAATAAGTGAATTTATTACAAAAAAATTCTAACGAGATTGATGCATTTTGATATCTTAGGTCCAGAGCTTTGAGGAAGAGACTGGTAATCCCCTTGACGTGACCTCAGGAATTGTAGGTAAGAATTCATCAAGGTGTGTGATCTCATCAGTGGTCTTTCAGAATGTAAATAACTGGTACTTAACTTTCTTCATATGTACAGAGCTTAAATTATCTTTAGAAGATACTCTACATTCACGCATCTCCTGAGATATTAAAAATTTACTGGCAGGCCACGTGCTGTGACTCATGCCTGTAATCTTAGCATTTTGGGGAGGCTGAGACGCGTGGATCACCTGAGGTCAGGCATTCAAGACCAGCCTGGCCAACATGGTAAAACCCCATCTCTACTAAAAATACAAAAAAATTAGCTGGCACGGTGGTGTGCACCTGTAATCCCAGCTATTTGGGAGGCTGAGACAAAAGAATCGCTTGAGCCCGGGAGGTGGAGGTCGCAGCTAGCTGAAATCATGCCACTGCACTCCAGCCTGGGCAACAAGAGCAAAACTCCATCTCAAAAAACAAAACAAAACAAAAAAACTACTAGCAATGCAAATATACGTGTACATTTTTAAAGACCACAGAAATGTTCAATATCCCTGGAGCTAATTGCGTGTGTGGCTTGCCTGGCACAAATTCTATATGATCTGACTACCATAGTGGAATGAATTTCATTAGACTGAGCCTTACTGCAGGAGGGGTGTACTTTTTTACTCCTTCTACCAGCTGCTTCATAGTGTACAAACAGTTTCATTTAACTGGGTCTCAGTTTTTCCAACTGAAATAAAGAAATAAGTACAGATAATTTTAAGTTCTCTGCTGGCCCTTATATTCTAAATTTTGTGTAATCTTAATGTTAAACTCTCAGTGGACAGAGAGGTTCCCTACATGTAGCTTTGCAAGTCTTCTCTTGGCATGATGCTTTATCATCCTGAACAACAGAGAATGAAACTCTTTTCTAATCCTGGTCTTTATTCCCTCATTCATTTGTCATCATAATTAGTATTTCCATGGTCTTTTAAGAAGTTAGAATTCGGCAGAATTAGTCCACCAAAATACAGCAGATGAAGCTGGTGCATTTCCTGGAAGAAAATATGCAAATTTTTAATTTAATTTAGTGCTGTGTCAAACACATCTTTTTCATTACAAAGTGTATGTATGGGCCTCATTTTGCTAAATGCTGTTTAGAAATTATGCATTAGTAATTATAGGGTCCTGCTGATTACATAAATTGTTATCCTGCTCTTTGAAGTAATTACCACATAACCTGCATTGAGGCTTATAAGATGAAAATAAGCATCTGTTTTCCATCTAATTGAATTCTTCTCAATGAAGCTGAAAGTCCCCTTGCCAATAGGAACTGCTTTTCTTGACATTCTTTTAAGAGGTCAATTAATACCATGTAAGTTGCCCCAGTTGTTCCAAAAAATTATTTGGGAAGTTAGACAAAAATTACTAATCTACATTTAATCTCAAATTGAGAGAGCAAAGTAAGGTAGGTAAAGGTGAGCCTAACAGGTAAAATCTGAATTATAGTACAGCAAATGTGATTTTGTCACTTTCAAAAATAGTATTTTTAACCTAAACAAACATAAGACTGAGAATAAATATGTAAAACTAGTTCAATTAATGGGAAAAGTAAATTACCATACATATATGATAATTATATGTGTGTATGTGTAATCAGTTTGAGATATGTATACATGCATTTTTTTTTCCTCAAAGTACAAAAGAATTACTTTATTTTAAAGATGAAAGCACATAGACTATTTTTTTTTTTGTACTTTAGGTTCTGGGGTACATGTGCAGATCATTCAGGATTGTTGCAGAGGTACACACATGGCAATGTGGTCTGCTACCTCCATCCCCTGGTCACCTATATCTGGCATTTCTCCCCATGTTATCCCTCCCCAACCTGCCCACTCCTCCGATGTCCCTCCCTTGGCCCCCTCCTACAGACCCCAGTGTGTGATGCTCCCCTCCCTATGTCCATGTGTTCTCATTGTTCAACACCCACCTACCTATGAGGGAGAACCAAAATATTATGGCAGTAGTGATGTTGTGCTAGTTCTGGTGCCACTCACTCAGCTGCTTCCTGGCTCTTGAGATATCTCCTCTTGGAACATTCCCTCTGGGAACCCAGCCCCTGTGTTGTGCGAAGCCCAAGTGACATGAGGATGCCACATGTAGACTCTCTGGTGGACAGTGCTGCATGAGTTCCATGTGAATAAGCCATTTTTGAGGTCCAGCCCAGTCAAACTTTCAGACTCTAGCCCAGGTGCCATCTGATGCAACTGCATGAGAGAATCCAAGCAAAAACCACACTGAACTAGCCAGCCCACAGAATCAGGAGAGATAGTAAATAGTTGTTTTACACACACATGAAGGTCCATGATGAACTCTTCAAATACCTTTAAAATGTTGTTAAAAACCAATATTAAGACTGTATTGCCTATTCTCATGTGCAATACTCCACATACTAGCAGAAAAATTATGTTTAATCATTTCCTAATTGAACTGAACAAATTGACTTCATATAGAAAATTGGGAGCCAAGGCCACAAATGTACTACCCTTTCTGAGCCCCCAAAAAATAAAATATCACTTAAATGACAAGGGAATATAAGGGAAAAAAGGAAATATATAATAGTGCTATTTAAAAAGAAGAAGAGGAGAAGAGGTCTATCATTCATATTCTATAAGACTTGAGGACTTTGTGTGTTATATATTGTGGGCAAAATTGCAGACAATTCTCGGTAAAAAGCCCACTTAGGGATTAAAAAGATGAATCTACTGCAGAACGATACTAACATGATAAGGTAATCATTTCCAAGAGAATCTCACTTAGCTATCAAATTGGATAAGATATGCCTCCCTGTCACCTTATAAAATCATCAAACCAAGCAAAATTATAAGATTTAGCAGTTCAAAAATCAGAAGTTATTCTGAATAAATGTCCACTAAAAAAAAGAATGATTACAAAGAAGCATGGTAAATCCTTAGTAATGAATATTCTCAGTGAGTTGTATGAGGACATTGCATCTATATAAGAAAATCATCTTTAATGAGCAGATTCCTTTCAGATAAAATATACAATGCTTGATTATGTTTCTGATGTTAAATAAATCCTAATGTGCCAATCAGCCCACAGAGAATAATCATAAACTCTGGACAAAATATTTTTAAAACTCTTACATTAAAGGTACTGCAGAGTGACCAAAAGGGGGCAGAGAATGGAGGGGGTTTCAACACATAGAAGGAAGGAATGGCACTGGGTGACTGTCCTGTTTTTTAAAAGTCTTTTAGCTTGAAAATAGGTTCCAGTTGACACCATCCTAAAACTCTAATAGAAAGTAGCAGTCTTGGCTGGGTGCAGTGGCTCACACCTGTAAACCCAGCACTTTGGGAGGCCGAGGTGGGTGGATCACTTGAGGTCAGGATTTTGAGACCAGCCTGGCCAACATGGTGAACCCCTGCCTCTACTAAAAATACAAAAATTAGCCACATATGATGTTGGGTACCTATAATCCCAGATACTGGGAGGATGAGGCAGAAGAATTACTTGAACCTGGGAGACAGAGGTTGTGGTGAGCCAGGATTATGCCACTGCACTCCAGCCTGGGTGACAGAGTGATTCTCCATCTCCAAAAAAGAAAAGAAAAAGAAAAATAAAAAAAGGGAAGTAGCAGTCGTACTAGTTAAAAAAATTAGAAAAGAAAATTTGAGGCAATGGTAACAGTTGAAAAGAGAAGGAGGAAAAAGACTTTAAGAATCTGTTAAGACTAAAAGGAGTGAACTGAGATTTTCATTTGCAGTGTGGTTCCAGCCAAGTTCCCTGCCTCCTTAAACAACACGCCATTCACAATATTCAGGAATAATAAAAATATACTGGACACATGAAGAAATAAGAAAATATAACTCATATGCCAGAAAATGGCAATTACTGAAGACAAACCATGAGAAAACCCGACATTCTAATCAGTAGATAGAGAGATTATTATAATTATGCTGAAGGATATAGACGAAAATATGCTTACAGTGAATGAAAAGATAGAAAATCTAAAAAGAAAAATAGAATTATAACAAATAATAAAATGTAAATTCTATAGATAAAAACTATAATTTCTGGAATTCAATATTTATTTAACATCACATTGGAAACAGTGAAAGAAATACTTGGTGAATTTTAATATATCTATAGACATTATCCAACAATCTGAAGATCAGGAAAAAGATTTGAAAATTATAAAAAATACTTATCTGAGTTTCAGAAGCCTGTGAGGCAATATTAAAGGTCAAACACATGCAGTTGCAGTCTGAGAAGGGAAGGACAGAGAAAACTGTGGAAAAAAATATTTGAAAAAATAATGGTAAGAAATTTTCTACTTTTGCTCAAAGATTTACATTTACAGATTCAAGAAGCCAACAAACTCTAAGTAGGATAATTACAAAGAAATTACAAAGAAAACTACACCTAAATAATATTAGGATCAATCTGATAGAAATCAAAGATAAGAGGAAATATTTAAAGCAAGCACATAAAAATGACATATTGAATACAGGGGAATAAAGATTTGAATGACAGGAGACTTTTCATTAGAAACAATGGAGACCAGAAGATGGTAAACTATGAGCCAGAATTCTACATGCAGCAAAAGTATCCTTCATCAATAAAGATAAAATTTCAGGCAAACAAAAGAAAATAATTCATTACCAGCACCAATGTAATGTAAGCATTGCTAAAGGAGGTTCTTTAGACCAAAGATGGTCAGTGTATTGTAGTGTTTTATACCGTATGTTGGTGTTATACTTGAGAATTTATAGCATAAAGGATAAGGGAATTGGTTAATGAACAAATATACCTACAAGACTTCTACATTTTACATGAAGTGGTACAATATAACTTTAAGTAGAATGAAAAAATAAGGATGTAAAGCATCCTTTACAAAAAACGAGAGGTAGAGCAAAATGCTGATAAAAATTTACATACATGTATATATGCGTGTGTGTGTGTGTATAGTTTGTTTGATTTTTGAGATAGGGATCTCACTTGCTAGCCCAGGTTGAAGTGCAGTGGTAC